ACTTTCATCCTCGTTTGAATTTGTGTTTGAATAACACTCGAGCTACAAATCAAAATATGTTGGACACTGAGAGTGAGGTCATGGAGTGTAGATCATTGTGGCTTCCACAGAAGTCTCCTTGTGTAAGAGAAGGGGACGGGTGGCTGCTACTTTGACTGATGGCTGTAGAAACTGAGAGGGCCGTTTGGTGCCCATTCTCCTGAGACTAAGTCCATGCCTGTGCCAAACCCCTCATTTGCCTCCGCGCAATATATTTCATTAAACTTTTAACTCTTCGCAAGGTAATTCACTTGACATTTTGAGGCCGTGCCGTTGCAGGCTGCCGAGTGTTTCTCTCTCTGTAATTTCATGTCAGGCAGATATTTGCCTAATACAGCCTGAAAATGCATTCCAAAATCTTTTTTTCTCTTTAAAAAACACACACACACACACACACACACACACACACACACACACACATACATTCATAACAGTTAAATGGATTAAATTGTATAACATCCAGACCAACAAAGCTGAGCAGCGCGGCACAGCATTTCATGGTTACAGCCGTGTTGGTCCCAGTGGCGCAGATATAATTAAGACCTCTTCTTAATTACTTAATAAGCCTAATTAGTAACATTTCTGAGCAGCAGATTTGGCTGTAAGAGCGATGGAAATCAGAAGAATGTTAAGTCCATTTGTTATTTCATTCAAATCTGGATATTAATGAAATTAGTGCATCATGATATACCAGAAACAAACCACTCTGGGATTGACCAAAGGGCTAATGCAGTTTTCTATGCTCCTGATCAACATTCAATTAAGTGGTACAACAAAAAATCATAGAAAAAACAAGTTGATATAGTTTTTGTTCGCTGCTATAGTCATGTGTCACCTTCATCGAGTGTTTATTGTATTCACTCTTCGCTCATTTTTCATTAGCCCATGGCCTGATGTGACAGAGAGGTGCGTGAAACTGACCGGGGGTCTGCTGTGTTGTCGTCAGGATAACTAAGGCGAGCCCACCAATCATGCGCTGGAGCTGCTACTGCATTCCTGGCCACTTAATTAGAAGTTGTTGGTACCACAGAAGGTGTCACCAACCTTTTCAGGCGCTGAACAGATGGTGTCCCCTCTTTTTGAGGTCCTGCCAATGCCCACTCTGTGGCTCCTGGGAAAATGACCTAACTCGCAGGCAGCTGCTTAGTGCGGCTTGAGTGATTCTTTACAGCTACTTCTATTGGGGGGGGGGTGGACTTAGCAGGACGTACCACTGAAAACAAGGGGTGAGACTGCAGTAGCTAGGTCCCTGGATAGCTGCAAAAATCTGTTTTGGTTGTCGCATACCAGTTGTTAAAACTGTGTTTTTAATGCCATGTGCACCAAGCGAGCACCTCGACCCTGGAGATCCTGATGTCTCAGCGCTAGCTGGTCTGTGTGCACCTTCCTCTGCTGCTGGCAGATGGTGTGAATATCAACAGAGAAAGGACCTGGGAAGGCCCGCAGAACAAAAAGTGAAAGGGGTTCCTCGACAGTTACAAAGAGGCCCCATGGGTGGGGGGTGGGAGGGGAGTGGTCTGCGTCCTAATGGATTAAAAGAAGGAGGGAGTAAGAGTTTGCAAGGGCATTTGCCGTCGAGAAGTAAGAGTGGATGGAGAAAATGCGAGGGCCGCAGATTCGATTTTTGTGGAGGCGAGGGGTCGGGGGTTTAACACGCTTCGTGCTGCGTGGACAGAAGATCAGCTGTCACTCTGTGTTCGGCTTGGCTCAACCTCACTGCGACCACGCAGGAGGTGGAGAGAGAACAAGTTGAAAATTTGATGACTGTGTTTTCTGACTAATTACTTGACATCAATTGCATCATGTGGGTTTCATCTTAAAGACAGTTTAAAATGAAACATTGTTTACAGTATTTCCAAAAAAATTACAAATCCGATGCCTTATCTACTCAGCCATGTCACACACCACAACATCTATACATCCTGTACACAGTTCTGGTCGGAGAAATCACAAGGCTCTTGCTGAAAGTAGCAGTGTGTTAGTCTTTCGGCCGGAGACTCTTCTTGGAAAGCGGCTCAGCTCAGCAGTGGTGTTTCACCGACATGTCAGGGGACATAAAATCTGTCATTTTCATCATGTTCTACCGTGGGTAAACCTGTTTCCTGCAGCTTTCTCTATCAGATATATGTCTGTGGGTTTATGGCTGTGGAGCTGGGGCAAGCCCGATCGATCTGCGGGAGCTGTAGGATTTAATAGGTGCACAGCTCTCGCTAAGGGGTACAGGGGTGGGGAGGGTATATTTAATCACTTAAAGCGAGCAGGGTGGCAAGCCCCGGTCACAAACAGTTTCTGTTTTATTAGACGTCAGATTATCAGTTTTCCCCACACTGTGAAATAGCTTAGGTGATCTATTGTTATTGCTGGTGTTTTTATTGTACATTTTAAGAAGCCAAATCAAGACATTAAATCAAAGTACACACTCTTTGGGGCACTGATGTGCGTCCGCCTGTGGTGTGTTAGTGTCTGTTTCATGAAAACAATACATGAAAGAATATTGATATTTGATCTTGAACATTATTTACAATAAGGGTGAAGAAGACTCCTTTAAGATACAGATAATAATAGCGCTTAGACCTGGTAATATTCTATATTTATATGAATTATCAACAACTTCTAAACTGAATTCATCTTAATAACAGGTATTGTCTGTGTAGCCAAAGCGTGAGACTAAGCCTACCATATTCCTCTGTGCCAAAGAGCTCCAACAACTATTACAAATAAATCAGTGAGTCACTCTTGCAATGGTTGACATGCTCCTGTATTACCATGAACACACAGACTTTAGTTTATTTAGAGTCAATCCCACGTACATCGTCCTGATGCCGTTAATGCTCACTAGTGCACAGAATGTGGATTAATCCGCCGTTGAAAATAGTTCCCAACAAATACACAATTTGCTCCTGTGATGTTGGCTAAAAACTACAATGCCCCGCTGTTTTAGGAATTTAGAATGAGAGCTTTCTTTTTTTTTTTTTTATTGAAGTATATTTTTCATATATGCTTTCATTATACTTTTATACTTGCAAACACATTTCTAGTACTTTACTTTTCAACATGAACGCTGCATTACTATTGTTTATCTTGCGCTTTTTGAATATAAAATAGTTTCCAGAGATGTAAAGTCCTGTGTGAGTATTATAAATGGCTGTACTTGTGTTTTGGCATCTGATAAGCCATCTCATGGATCTGTTACTCACATCAGCCTTCCTGGATTCTATTTAATCGTCCCACCACCACCACAACAACAACAACAACAGCACAGCCCTTGCATTGTTTAAACGCAGGGCTGTATTCAGTGAGATGTGTCTTTATTGAGACACTTTCCATTCCGACTTGGAACCCCTGTCCTATGTAACCCTCCTCTCTACATACAACTCATTGTGTGCCTCTCTGCAGTGCCAACTCTCTAAACAAATGCCCCAAGAACCATTTTTTAAAGTGAGTTCAAAGAGTATATTTTAGTTTTTAAGTTTAGTCAACTACACTGAAATGAGTTTGTCTGCATCTCTGAATACATATTAGGGAGCATTCAGGATCACAGTTCCTTGTAATCGGTTCATTTTTGGTGACTTCTAGCAAATATTGATTACTTAATAAAAACACTTTTATCTCCAATTGTAAGCACATTTGGAACTTGGAGAGCCAAATGATAATACGTCTAGGTCTATATTAGGATGCATGTCAGTCGCCTCCTCGCTTCTCTAGTCTTCTGCATTAAGAAATTGTCAGTCCCCCCCCCCCAATGACCTTGAACCTCAGCAGCGCACCTCAACCCCTCACACCGTCTGCTATTATGCTGGGACCTACATGCTAAAAGTCATTGGTGGTGATAGTGGCTGATTAGATTGTGTCCATTGATCGCTTGGCGTGCTGTTAGGACGAAGACGGTGCGGGCTGCAGCTCCTGCCTCTCCTCCTCAGACACACTGACAGTCTGAGACAGAGGAGATGGAGCCCCATGCGGGGCAGCAGATTGAGTTATTGATCAGCTCTCTCCTCTCTCCTGTCTCTGTCGCTCCCTCTGCTGCTCCGAGAGACCCCGTCATCTGGATAATGAATTTCACTTATTGCAGATTAACGGCATAAGGTCTGTATGGTAATAATGGCAGAAATTAGCTCTTTGTCACCCCCCCTGGATTTCCACGAGGAGGGGTTCGGGGAGAGTGAAGGTTATTACGGCCCTGTTACTCAGTCTGAGGGCTGTGATTTTAACAAGAGGGAACCGAAAGAGAGACTCTGCATGAAAATGAAAGATTTGAGGGAGGATTAAGATGAGATTTATGAGGACTGCGATTTCAGGATCGCTGAAGTGGCGGGGGAGAGTTCTGATGCAAGAAATTCAGGTCTGATGGAGGAGAGTGAAGGAGAATTTAGAAAGGGAAAGGAACACTGAATAGCCGGCTGCTCTGTGAAAAGTACAGGGCAGAGAGGAAAGATGAGAGCAGATGATTCAATAGAGACGTAAAGAGATGGCGAGGCAGGAGTGGTAAAGTGGAGAAGAGAGAGTAAGATAGGCAGTGGTCATACAGTCACCAGGCAGCGGCGCCGCTTAAGGGTCGGCCATTGTGTCTCCAGCACCCAGATTGGGGTGGTAAAGGATGAATAATGAGGCTTGATTACAGTCTGTGTGATGGCACATTGTTCAGAATCAATCCTCCAGGCAATTACAGGCGGTACAAACAGCAGCTCTCAGCCTCAGCCAGGACGGAGCGGGAAGCCATTGTGTCAGAGGACAACATCATCTTCGTCAATGACTTGTTGCCTCCTCATGTCGGAGCCATTAGCACTTACTCTTCTCCTGCAGCACATTCAGCCGCCCACGTGAAAAGCCCCAGCTCACATGTGTGTGTGTGTGTGTGTGTGTGTGTGTGAGAGGGACATAAGGATGTTTTTCTTTATCGTATACACATAAACACATACAGTATATCATATAATTGAGTCCATGTTCCCTTCTTGTTGCAGGTATGGTTTCGGATTGTTGGATGCAGGGCTGATGGTGCAGCAGGCTGTGCACTTCAACGCTGTTGCTCCACAGAGGAAGTGCATGCAAGAATGCACACTCCATCCTACCCGGTTAGGCTACTACTATCGACTTACTGCATGTTCATTTAAAACCCATAGCTGCTGATGTTCTATTTGTATTGCTTTGAGTTCATCACATTACTTTACCTGCTTCAACAGAGCAGCTTCCCCACAGGAATCAACAATCTTTCATCTTATCTTCACCCATACTGTCAATGTGTGTCTGTATATTTGTATAAGGGGATGGATATCATTGAGTGTGTCTTACTGACTGACTCATGTAATGATTTTCTCATTGGTTAGGATCCTTTCTCCAGGAGGCGGGGTCAGTGTAAACATTCAATCAGACGCCTGCCTTGGGAGCACTAATGAGATCAACACTCTGGAGCACGTTCAGGTCAGGCGGCCGTTGGCATGAACTTGCAGTACATCTGTTTTATTCTTTCTATGGATAACTAGATGTTTTTCTACTTGAAGCAGATCTTAAAAACTATTTCGACTTTTTGGGATGTAAACTTATTATTTTGATAAGAAGATCAAAAGCACTATTTTAGATATAAAGGTTTAATCAGCAATTGGTTAGCTTAGCTTTGTGTAAATACTGCAAACAGGGGGAAAACAACTAGCCTGGCTCTCTTTAAAGGCACCAAAACCCACCAGCTAGCACCTCTAAAACTCACTGATTAACATGTTAAATCGTGTTTGTTTTAGACATAGAAGTATAAAACAACAACAACAAAAAATTGTTGTACCCAGGCCACCAGCAAAACCACAACTTGTCCTGGTTGGGTTTTCACAGGGTTTCCGGTCTTTTTGCTATAAGCTAAGCTAAGCTAACTGTTTGTAGATTCGTATTTAAAGGGACAGATATGAGAGTGGCCTAGATATTTTCATGTTGCTCTGGGCAAGAAAGGATTAAGAGTATTTCCAAAAATGACAAACTATTCCTTTAAAATATAAAAAGTGTCTGTTTTTCTTGCTTGTATTGTGATTTTGCTGTACATTGGCTTTTACAGCCTTTCCATGTTCCTGTTGACCTTGACATTATACAAATACAGACAAAGTGTATTAAGTTCTGCCTGCAACCAGGCAAGCTCGAACATTTCATAGGAATTGTTTTTGGGATTTCTGTGTTGAGAATAGAGGAGATATAAAATTTAAAAAAAAGATCATACTGTGATGCTTAATGTGTTGGCTGTGTCATTTGCAGAAAATGGCAAAACTGTGTTTTCTTGAGCACAGGCACATACATGCAAATGTGTTCATGTTTGACAGTCAGCAGGCATTCGTGTCTGTGTACGTGCACATTTGAGTTTGTGCGAGTTGTCTACGTTTGTGAGGTTGTTGTGTGTACTTGTGAAATAACGAGGAGAGAGAGAGAGAGAGAGAGAGAGAGAGAGAGAGAGAGAGAGAGGTAGTGTGTCAGCATGTAAATTGAAAAGGCTTCATCTTTGCGGCTCTGCTCCCTGGCAGAAAGCGTGGGTCAGGCCATCGCTGCGAGGTGTGATTGATGGATGTGTTGCCGTGGTAACACGCTGTAAACAGGAGCGGGCTGTCAGTCTTTTTGCAGCTTGGCGTCTCTCTCTGCGATGTGCCATTGTCACACCAGATGTGCTGCTTGTGATGAACAGGGACAGAGAGAGTGTTTACTGGGTGGGAATCATGGAGGTGGGGGTTTTGGGGGTTGCATGTGCTTATTTAAATCATTTGACTAATATTCCCCTCAACCATTTTTGTCACTGTGTCTTCTCTTTCTGCTCCCTACTTGTCTTTGTCTTCATCTTTGGGTGGCTATGGACAGATCAGTGTCCATCTGTCTGACATGCACAGTATCTCTGAAAATACTGAATGGATTTGGATTCAAACTTGTCGAAATTACTCTGATTGGCCTGATCGTCCATGTGTCACATGTAATACCTCAGATAGCAATGATTATCCCAGGAATCCAGTGCTTTTTAACGAGTGATGATTGGCTTGCTTCACATTTTAAGGGGTTGTTTCACAATGCTTTAAAATGTGCATACAGAGAGTGAGATAAAAACACTGATACCACTTTTAACACAAAGACTGGAAACAGGTCAAATCTGCCTACCAGCCCCTCTAAATATCACTAATTGTTAATATATAATATATATATTGTACACATTTTAAATTGTAAAATCAAATATGGGTGGTTTTATGGGGGTGAATATCCGTGACTATTTCTTGGCCGGGCGCAGTGACTTCTTGGAGTCTTGTCGTCCCCGTAAGGTTGCCAAGCACACTCAAAGTCGCTGCACGCACAATTGTGCAAAATTGTAATTTTTACGCTTCTTTCATACAGATCAAACAAGCCACACACAACAACAGGCTAGTTGTTTCTCCCTGTTCCCAGTCTTTATGTTAAGCTAAGCTAACCGGTTACTGGCTCTATTTTAATATCCAACATAGCCTACAGACATGAGAGTGATGCCGATTGTTGTCATCAAACTCCCAGCAAGAAAGCAAAGATGTCAAATGTCAAACTTTTCTTTTAAGGTTTAAAAGTCAAGTAATCGATCAATAAAGTGTGTTTACCAAAACATAAAGACCAGTCCTTATTTTAGTTAGTTCCGTCACACTCAGTAAACATCAACAGTCTGTCGTACTGATGAGAAAGCCTGTAAGATAACATGTTCACATGTTGTTGTGTCTCTGTCCACCCACTTCCTCTCTCATGTCTCCATCCCTCCATCATTCTCCTCGTTCACACCTCCCTTCCTTTTTTGTTTCTTGCCACCTGTCTCTCACTAGGTGAGAGTGAGCATCAACACCGTGTGTCGCGGTGACCTCTCCATCAGCCTGGAGTCTCCAGCTGGCACCGTATCACTGCTGTTGGATACACGGCCCAATGACGCCTCCACTGCTGGCCTGAAAAACTGGACCCTGATGACGGTGCACTGCTGGGGGGAGCAGCCACGAGGCCTCTGGACCCTCCAGGTGAGATGAGAGTACTGTCAGATACGCTGCTTTTTATATGTAGTTTTTCATCTTTAGCCACACTAGCAGTGCTAATTAGCATGCTAAACTAAGATGGTGAACATGGTAATTATTATATTTCATTTTTATAAGAAATAGTTACCAACACCTGAAACACAAAAACAATCTCACAAATGTTCCATCTTACAAGTCTTAACTTCATAGTCCCAACGAGAGTCACTCTCGGAGATATCAATCCATATCTGGGACTATTACTCTTGAGGATTTATCTTTTCTTTTTTTTTTTTGTAATGTAATTTTTACATTATCATTACATTATACCTGTTAAGCATCGCCATGTTAGCATTGTGAGCATGCTTTTGTTAGCATTTTTAGTTAATTGCTGTTTTAAACAGTTTAGTTACTTTGAACTCTACAAAAAAGTAGAAATTGTAATAAAAACATATCATTCAGATGTTTCCAATATTGTCAAAGCTATTAGCGTATCTCAATTCTTCGATATATCATTTATATTTTTGTCTGGAAAATTCCGCTTGATCTGTCAAGTGATAACTAACTCAACTAAAATGTACCCAAATATCTTCTTGGCAAAACTTGTATACTCATTTTGAGTACTCACTTCATTACTTTTCTGGATTGCCTGTTTCCCATACCTTCTCTCATGATATAGGGATGAATTGCTCCGCTTCACATGGTCCCCCTCCAGTAGCTGCGATGTAAAGAAGTTTAAAAATAGCCGAGCACAGCACAGCTCAGCTCGGTTCAGTTCATTCTGCAGTAGCAATGTGAATCATCCTCTACTTTCATCTCCGCGTTTCAGCCAAGCATGGCAATCTTCATTCCCCCCCCCCCCCCCCCCCCCCCCCACCCCCCACCCCACACTCTTCTTTTCCTTTTTTCTCTCATAGATGTGCTGATGTTTGATATTGAAGAAGGAGCTAAAATGGAAGGGAAATTAAGACTGGAAGGTTAAGTAACCTTGGCCGGGTTTGACAGACACAATACTGCCGACGTCTGATTAGAATCCATACTCACAGACAGTAGCGCGCTGAGGTCATTTACTGTATATACGTGTGGGTGGTAGCAGGGGGGGGGGGGGGGGCTCTCTCTTTGTATGTATGTGTTTGTGTGAGTGCAAGTAGGCATCAGTCCTTGTAAACAGTTGGAGGTTTACAGAGAAAAAGCTGTGAAGATGAAAGACACCCACCCCCTGTTCTCTATCACCTACCTCTTCCTGCAAACACACACACACACACACACACTCTTTCTCTCCGTCTCTGTGTCTCTCCCACGTCCTCGCGCAGATTTACTGTCCCCTCTGTGACCAATTACCAAGGCCCAGTATGTCACAGAGACGGGGAGGAGACACCGTGAAGCTGAGCCTCACAACGACGCCACTGCTCATTACCAGAGGGCCGAGACGAGTCACGGCGATGCTCGCAACACAAATTAACGCTCACATCTTACGTGCCACATGCCTTAGCACACCGCTAATCAGCACATGCGCGCACACACGCACACGCACACACACACTGATTGGTTTTATGCTGTTTGTCAATTTCACCGTGGATTGGAGAGAAACATGTACACAAACAATTACAGGGCGCTGAAAATAAGACGCGTGAGTGCTACAACTCGCAGGAAGGAACAGAGAGGAAAAAGGACACACACACACATAAAACATAAACTTGTAAATGTAAATCTCTCTGTTTCTAGTATTGATTAAATATCATGGTTCACCAAAGTCTTCTTATTGTCCCAATGAAAGAAGGAACAGGAAGGACTACTTTAATCACCTGTACTAGATTTGACTTATCGTTGGTTCTGAACATATGTTGTCATTTGATGGTTTTTTTACATCTGTCTGTGCCGCTGCATGAATAGAAATTGCAGAGCCATAGAGACAGAGGACATACAGGACTAATAGAAAAGGCAGAAAGAGGGATGGTGAAGAGTGAAGGGTAAACTATAAAATGGAGGCCCTGGGAAGAGACTTTAACTGGACTATCTGCCGGATCAGTGTTTAAAAACTCAAGGGCAACAGAAGAGGGAGTGAGGAGGAGGAGGAGGCTCTGTGGAGAGTCTATATTGATTCGTCATGATGACAATTGTCAAAGAGCGTCGTGGTGCTGCTGGAATAAAAGCGGGACTGAAGTGAAAGGGGAGCGAGCGTTATGGCTCGAGGCTCGGCTAACCTTCCAGCGCTGTGAAGGAGACGAGACCGCGGGGCTGGAAATATACTCTCTCTCTCTCTCTCTCCTCCTATGTGCTCTCTCCCCTGTGCTCGCTCTACCGCCATCTGTGGTGCATTCACTCAGTGCCTGTGCTGCTTATCAGACAGTATTGCAGGCAGTATTGCACAATATAAAGAAGGCTTTTTCCAGCAATATACAGTATGGATTTAAACTGCACTGACATGATTAGCTATAGAATTTGAAAACAATAATATATAGTCATTAATATCTATGATAACCATTAAGGATTAATTCACAAGCAGATAAAAGGTATACCAGACGTTACTTTGACCCTGTGTGTCCTTGATCTTCCTGCATCCTGTCTCTCTCTCTCTCTCTCTCTCTCTCTCTCTCTCTCTCTCTCTCTCT